GCCAGAAGAGGTGAACACCTTCTGGAGGGGATGCCTGGAGCAACACCACCTCCCCACCCAGCCCAACAGGTGCTCCATCCCTGTCCTCTCTCCCTGCCATGCCCTTGGGGCTGGGGCCAGGGCTCCCAGCATGACCTGGCCTTTGCTCTGCCCACAGGTTTTTGGTCCAGACCATCAAGGCCCTGCTGTGCCGGCTGCAGTGGGATAATGAGGTGGTGTCAGTGGAGCGCAAGTGTGGCTGGGACACGCTCCTCTGTGCTGACACCCAGCACTATGCAGTGGGGCTGCTGGCCAGGTGAGACACCCTCGTCCCCGCTGCCCCCATCATCTCTGCCCTGGGCACGGGCCACCCCACACAGCCTGCTGGGGGAGCTTTGCCCACCCTGCTCAGGCTCCATGGTTCCTTCTTTCCCCCTGACAGGGAGATGCGCCACGTCTTGGTCCCTTTCTATTCCCCAATGGCAATCCACCTCCTGGGGCTGCTCAGCACTGAGGACCCTCGTTGGGAGCTGCCTGCCCTGGCCTTCCTTGTGGAGGTGAGCCCGATGGCGAGCGCTGCCTGGCCCGGCTGCCTCCCCCTCTCTGCCCTCTCACAGCCGCAGCTGCCCGGGACGGTGCCTGCGCCCTGTGCTGCTGCCTGGGCCCAGCCCTGGGCGGCTCTGGGCTCCTGCTGCCCGGGCACCCCGTCACTGCTCTCTGCCTTCCAGGTCCTGGACTATCTGGACGGGAGTAAATGTCATGACATGGTCCTGCCCATCCTGTCGAGGAACCTGCGGAGCCAGTGCCCAGAGAGGCAGCGCCTGGCGCTCAGAGGCCTCCTGGTGCTTGCTGTGGATCCCTCAATGGTGAGAAGGGGACACCCGGCTGAAGCCACACGGGCAGCCTAGGGTTGGGGAAGGGAGGTGCTTGGGTTTGGCTGGGCTTTGGCAGCTGTGGCAGCTGCTCCCAGTTCTCCTGCCTCCCTCTTCTGCTGCCCAGGCCCTGTGGGACAGGCCTTTGGCCTCTGGCCCTGGGGCCGCAGCGTGGGGTTGTGCCAGCACAGAGTTGTTGGTGGGGCAGCTGTTCAAGGCTTGACAGCACAGCACTGTGTTCCACACAGGCCGAAAGCATCTGCAGCCTGTCTCAACACCTCCTGGAGCTCCTGCCTGATGAAGACGGAGAGCTGGTCGTGATGACCCTCTCTGTGTTTGAGAGTGTGCTCCGGGATGAAGACATTTGGGCATTCATCTCCACTGCCCCCAAGCTGGCTGAGGCGCTCCGGCCACTCTTTGACAATGTAAGGCTTTGTGCCCTCCACCTCCAGGCCCTGAGTGCTGCCATGAAACTTTGCCCTGTGGATGTTCAGGCCTGTGCCTGTTCCTGGTGGGCCTGGAGCATCCAGTGCTGAGGTCTTTTTCTCCTTTTTTGCCCCAGGACAACAGCCACGTGCAGCTGCTCTCCATTCGCCTCTTCCGAGAGGTGATGGAGGTGCTGGCGGAAGAGGGAACACAGCTCTTGGAGACACAGGTGCACCAGAGCCTGGTCCCACTCTTCATCCATGGGCATGATGAGAACCAGTGCGTGGCAGAGGTGAGCACTCGTGGGCTCTGGTGTCCCCGTGGCAGGGGCTGGGCTGCCTCCTGCCCTGGGGCCTCAAGGGCTCCAACCTCCTCCTGGCCTTGGAGCAGGGACGCAGGGGCTGTGCCCTGGGCTGTGGTGCCATGTCCTGCTCTCTGCTGCTCCGCAGGCCTCTCGAGAAGTGCTGCTTTGCGCTGCAAGGTTCCTCAAGAGAAGGGACCTGGAGAAGCTGCTGAGGAAAGAGCAGCACTTCAAGTTCTGTGATTGCCTGGTAAGGATGACCCCAAAGGCCCAGCCCCAGGCTGGACAAGCCCCAGGCCCCGATGCCCTGTGTGCGGGGCTGGCCCTGTGCCCCTGGCACTGCTGCAGCCACAGACACCCCCCTGCTCTCTGCAGATGGACAAGGACGTGAGCCGAAGGGCTGAGCACCTGCACCAGGCCCTGCCCTACCTACAGAGCCCACAGCAGCCCCTGCGAGAGGCGGCCGTCAGGTTCATGGGTGAGCCACAAGCCCGCGGTCCCTCCCTGCCCCGCTGCAGCTCGGCCCCAGCCCCTCCTGCTCCAGCGGCAGCAGGATGCGGCCCAGGGATGTGCTGGAGAGCCCCGAGTGCCCTGGTGGCTGCTGCCGCCCTCTGCCAGCTGCACCCTTGGGTGTCCCGATGCAGGAAGGCCCCGGGCTCAGCCCGGCCAGGCCAGGAGGCCGTGGGTGGGGGAGCTGTGCTGCTGGGGCCCTGACACGCTCTCTGTTCCCAGGGATCGCTGCCTGGCACATGCAAGACCTGCAGCTCCTCATGAGGGGTGAGTGAGGACAGTGGGCTCTCACTGGGGGCTGGCAGGGAGGAGCACAGATACTGGCCATGGTGCTGCAATCCCTACCCTGCCTGCATGGGGCTCTGCTCCCTGCACGGACAAGGGGCGCTGTGGGCAGAGCATGGACACATTTCAGGGGCAGGGAGAGGATTGGGGGCCAGCACCTTCCCACTCATCCTGTTGACCCCTGCTCCCTCCTGGTCATGGCAAGAGCTGGCTGGGATGGCCCCGACAGGAGGGTCTCCTCGGGTTCCCACACATCCAGGCTCTGACCGTGGCTTCGTTCCTCTCTCTTCCAGCCTTTGAAGCCATGAGCCAAGACGACTGCCCGTCCTACTGCACCATGCGGACTGAATTCTTGTCCGCTTTTCGACGGGCAGTAACAAAGTAATCTCCAGCCACACAACCAGCGTCCCTCCAACAGCACCAGAAGACCAAGGGACGAGACCACTTCTCAG